ATGCATCAGGTATTTGCTCATAATTGTACCTGGCTTAACAGTGACATATACAAAATTTTAATATTTAATATTTATTTGTGCATTAAAAATTTATATTCGTTACTTAATTTGTTGGGTACATATCTATCTATATATATTTATATCTATATGTATATTTATATATTTGTTAAATTTTATATTAAAAATATATAAATTTATATATAACTATAAGTTCATACATATAATACAAGTTTGTATATAAAGCAAAATATGTGAGTGTATACATTCTCATATACACAAGTTCATATATATAATAACAAAAGAAATACAAACAAAATTCATATGATTTTCCTTTAATTGAATCTTCACTACAAGAAGAAAAGGGAAAAAAACTTAAATATTTTAATTTCTTAATATTATATTACAAATTAAGCATATAAACTAAAATATAATCATTATATTATAAATTCTTTTATAATTAAGTAATTTATGTATAAATTGTAAATTGAATTGATATTTTATAATTAATTAATGAAGCATTATAAAAATATAATCAAGTATATGGGTTTAGTATATAAGTCGAGTTTATACAAATCATGTATATAGTTTAGGTTTATGGGTTAGATATACAAATCATATATATAAGGTATATAAGTCAAGTAAAGTATGTAGATATTGACTCTCATATAGTCATATCGACCATATCCAGTATTTAACTGATAATTAATAAGTATGCTTTTTTTATAAACAATGTTATAGGAATAATTTTTTTATATTATATTTTAATATAATTTTTATATGTCATTAAATAAATGGATGCATTTAATATCATGAATTCCACATAAATTAAAAAAATTAATCATTTAAATGACACGTGAAATTATATAAAAAATAATAAAAAATTATCCAAAAATTAATTTTCCATTTTCATATCCTGTATTTAAATATTATATATATCCGTACCCGATAGTTAGCCCTCAACCCATCTTGACGTCCAAGTCCAAGTATTAAAAGAACTTGTTTTGCATTATTTGTGCATTCCCCCTTGTAAATTGTGAAAATCTTTCTTTCTTGCTGGTCTCTCTCTCTTGTTTTTTTTTTTTTTGCAACAATTATGTGCATTTCTCCTTGTAAATTGTGAATTATTTAGATCGCATTTAAATATTTAAATTTAGGCGCAGAAGGAAAAGAAATTCTGATAAATTGTTTATATTAATAATATATTTAGATTAAGAAAAATAAAAGAGCGGAGAATTGTATCTTTTCATTCTTTGCACCTCTCTTAAATAAGTGAATAAATTAAGTGAATAAGGTAAAATTTTTTTTTGTTTCCTATCTTCTATTTTCCTGAATTCAAATATATTTTAATTTAAGAGAAACAAAAAAT